CGTTATCTGAAGAACCTTTCACATTATACTTTTTTATATTTAGTGTTATCAACAATATTGATCAGATAACATTTTTTAATAAAAGTGTTATCTAAGGTGATGATAATGTATAACACATTTTTAAAACAAGCATTATCCAAGTGTATACTTTTTTTGTATGTATTTTGCGTTTGTATTCATTAACTCTTTTTACCAGTAAACAAAAACTAAATGACTTAAATCATAAACCCCATGTACCAAGAAGCAAGAACCAACAAGAAAACAACTTAAACATGAATATAACAGAAAACTTAGTAATACAATCCACCAATTTTAACATTGTACTCTTGTATGTACACGAATAATGTAGCACAAAAACATGAAACCATCGTATCTCCAATTCTAAGAAATCAAGAAAAATAACTAATAATCCTAGTAAAAAATTTGGACTAGGATCTGCAGTTTAAGGTAGGTGACAAAGTATTCATGAAAGTCACACCAATGTGGGGTGTGATTCGTATATGAAAAAAAGGAAGCTGCAGTTGCGCTATATTGTCTAGCCTGAGTCGGCAACCTCGCCAATCAGTTGGCCCTACCATCAGAGCTTTTGGGAGTGCACGACGTGTAGCATGTCTTGATGTTGAGGAGATATGTGCATGACCTGGAGCACGTGGTGAACTTTGACGAGGTGAATGTTGGGCATAACCTGACCTATGAGGAGGTATCGATAGCCATTCTGGGCCGAAAGGTCCAACAACTGAGGAACTGGGAGGCGACGCTCATCAAAATCTAGTGGAGCCGCCACGGCGAGGGCGACGCGACTTGGGAGAGCTAGGATGAGATTCAGATGTAGTATCCGAACTTTGTATTTTGGATTGTACTTTTGTAATTTTTGAAGACGGAAATCATTTTATGAAGATAGGTTGTAACACCCCATTTTGTTTAATAAAAGCATAACATTTGCATTTTATGAATATCGACTTTTTGTATTCAATCATTTTAAATCCAAAATGAATTAAATAGATGTCCTCGTCTATTAATTTTCCAAATCAAAAAGAAGATTAAGTAGATGTCATCGTCTACTTAATTTTTCCATTTCGCTAATCTTTTATATTTTTACCTAAGTTTAGCTAACTCTTAAGCATGCCTAAGTTTCAAATTTTTTCTAAGTACTAATTTAGGTTATATTTTTTCTAATACAAAGTTGACGTCATTTTTTTTTTATTTATTTTTAACTTAAGTGTTAAGGACTCGACCGACTAATATTTTGTTTAAGGACCCAAAATCATTTGATTAGCCTAAGTGTTTAAAATTTTATCCTAAGGCTAGTACAAGTCTCTCGACACTCACCTTTTTGCCGAGCCAAATAAGCCAATATATCCTTTGTCGCTCGACCAAGAGAAACAAAAATCAAAGAATTCAAACCTCCCACCACCAAGCATGAAGATCAAGTCATACCCTAACCCACTCCTCTAATATCGGCATTCAACAACTCACTCCACCAGCCCACTCCCTCAAATAACATCCATCCATGCATGGAAAAGGTGGACACATAAATTTTTATCAGCCAGACAATATAATATGAAAAAGTACTCAAAATTTTTTTATGTCGTGCTTATTAAGTACGAATTTACATTCTGCAAAAACAATTTCCATTCACATTCTCTTCTCTCATTTTTTGGAGTTGTTTAGGTTGTGTTTGTTTATCAAATTTCTGGAAAAAAAACTAGAAAAAAAATCTATCTCAATTCAAAATTTAACTTAAACTCATTATCCTCAATATTATCTATATAATTAAATAATATCATTCAATCAATCTTACACATTACATCAACTTTAATTCACTATTCATTCACTCACATATTTTAAATACATATTATTTTCAATCATTTATCTCCTACTTTTACATCAAATCAACTTTAATAATTTTAT